TTCTCCATACCCAGATGAATGGGAGAACTACTCCATGGAGAAGAAAGCAAAAGCAGAATCAGACACGGAATTCATACTGCGAAGAATGGATTCCGGCTCCTGGACGTTGATCGGCACTTCTCCAAGCTCAAACTGGCCTCCAATGGTGTTGAAGATCAATCTAGGGCACTTGGAGACTCTTGTTCGTCGCTTTCTCTCTCTAGAAATCGCTCTCTTTCTCAAAAACCCGAATCCCCCTGACTTGTGGCTGAAAATCTGCTTAAAAGCATCAGTGGCCAAAGCACGGTCGAGGGCACGGCCGTGCTTTGCCTGACTCCGCCCGTGTCTCGGCCAGGGCTTAATTACACGACCAGCAAGTGGATTAAACACGGCCGTGCTTCGCGTTGGACACGGCCGTGCTTTGGTGGAACACGGCCGTGCTTCGGTGCCCGTGTTTGCAGCCGAATTGGCCAAACTGAATTTGCTCTCGGCATAAAAAGCACGGCCAGCAGTACACGGCCGTGTAATGCCTTGGGTCTGCCCGTGTTTTGGCTCCAGCTCACCGAAATGACTTCCGAATGCCCCGAAACTCGCGGTTAGCCTTCCCTTTAACGCCTGGGACCTGAAACATGACAAAATAGCACAACCCGGCGTAAAATAGGCCAAAACACACGACTATACTCCTCAAACGGATAAGAACTAGGGGCGCAAACATGTGCATTTACATCGTTATCAGAAAGTTTCAACTAAAATCGGGTTTGGAACCCAGCAGTCCCTCCAAAACGACACCCAAGCACCACTACCCGGATCGATATGACATACCTTCCAAAAAGACTCATATTCTTTCGTAATATTGGCCCAAACCGACCCTACATATCTGCTCCTACATCTTTTGCTCTGCCAATCAGATTCAGACGGGTATTTCTTGGAGATTAACTCTCGCCACAAACTTCCTCTGTCGTTAGCATATTTCCACAACCATTTAGATAGGAGTGCCTTATTAAAGCAGCTTAAATCTTTGACTCCGAGCCCCCAATCTCCTTCATAACCTTGCAAAGTTCCCATTTAACAAGCGGCATCTTACGCTCTTCCCTCGCCCCACACCAAATAAACCTTCTCTGAATTCTTTCCATTTTCTGCACTGCTCCTCTAGGAGCATGAAACAATGAAGTAATAGACCGGTTGACTCGACAAGACTGCATTGTTCAAAACCAAATGACCCCCAAGCGAGAGATAACGTCCTATCCATCATGCAAGGCGCTTTTTGAATTTCTCTACGAATAGATCCCATATAGCACTCGAGTTGACCTTAGCCCCGAGAGGGAACCCCAGGTATTTCGTGGCATCTCTTGTCCAATTACACCAAAAAAACAGCAACGAAATATTCTGGATTTGGGACATCACCAACACCAATCATAACCGATTTCTCAAGATTAATCTTGAGCCATGTGATAGCTTGGAAACAGACAAGAGTAGCAAGGATATTCAGAACTTTTTCCATGGATGCATCGCAGAGGATCAAAGTGTCATCAGCGAACAACATATGAGTGACCTCCCCAAACCCTCTTAACTCATCCGTACAGAATCCCCTCAATTTTCCCTCCTCATTAAGCTAGGACAGCATAAACGAGAGCACCTCCATAATTAGCACGAACAATCCCGGCGATAGCGGGTCTCCCTGACGAAGACCCTTCTCCGTTTTAAAGAACCCTTTGGCTTCTCCGTTAATAATTGTTGAGATAACCGGCATGCACATTGTCCCACGAATCCACTCACACCATTTCCTTGGGAGCCCCAAAGCCGAGAGGACTTTAAACAGACAACTCCAACTCACATTGTCGAACGCCCACTCGATATCAAGCTTGAACATTAATCTCAGTTACCGGCTTTTCTTTCTGCTCTCCAGGAGATCAAAGGCTATGAAGCCGGCCTCCGAGATCTGCCTACCACGAACCGAAGCTTGCTGGGAAGGAGAAACCAATTTTGGGAGCACCAAGCTGAGCCTTCGATCCAATATCTTACTGATAAGTTTGTTCAGAATCCCCATCAAGCTTATGGGCCTAAGGTCCTTGATGTCCTCAACCGCTTCTCTATTAGGGACTAGGCACAAGAAAGAATGTGTGGCGCACAGCGATAAAGTGCCAGAATCGTGGAACTCAAGCAAAGCATTCTGGATCTCGATACGAATAAAGGGCCAGCACTTCTTATAGAAGTCCCACGAAAAGCCGTCAGGACCCGATGCTTTCCACCCATCACTATCTCTAAGACTCGCCCAAGCTTCAGTTACTGAGAAAATCAGAACAAGAGTATTAGCTTCAGCATTACTCAACCTGTTCTCCCCAAAATCCCTCGGGAAAGGACGCTTAGCAACAGTTTCTTTGAAGAAAGATATATAATAATCAACCACCCCTTTAGCCAAGTCCTCCCTACCTTCAAACCTCACACCTTGAATGTTTATGCATTCAACCATGTTAAGCTTCTTCTTAAAATTAGCCATCACGTGGAAAAACCTGGTATTATCATCCCCAAACTTTAGCCAGTGTTCCTTCGCTTTCTGCCTCCAAGAGATTTCCTGAAGAAAAAGAAGAATGCTCAACTCCATCTTATACCCCTGTCGATCCATTACCTCATTATTATTCAAGATTCTAGATTCCTCAGTCGAGTCCAAATCCTTAATCCTGGACAGCGTTGCCTCAATCTGGTTGTTAATATTACCGAAGACATTTCTATTACAATCCTTGGGGAGGCCCTTAAGGTTCTGCAATCTCTTGCACCACCGAAATGCTGCCCCTCTACCAGCAATATCAATCCTCATCCACGTTTCCATTTCCACAAAGAACCCCTCGTCATGTAGCCACATGTTTTCAAACTTCCATGGTCTTTTGACTCTCCATGAACCCCCCCCCCCCCCCCAATCTAATAAGACGTGGGTTATGCTCCGATTCAACACGCTCAAGAGCCATCAGAGAGCAATTAGGGAACAAATTGTCGAAACCAGAGGAAATAAAGACTCTATCGATACGAGAAAGTCAATTAGACCCATCACCCTTGCACCAAGTAAACAAACCGCCACTGAGAGGAAGTTTGATAAGAGCATTACTATCAATACAATCGTTGAATTCCCCCATCAGATTAACATTCCGGCGAGCCCCTTTGTATTCCTCATGATTACGCACAAGGTTGAAATCTCCAGCAATACACAGTGGAGCCTCAGTGGACAAACAAAGGTCATGAATCTCTCGGATGAAGGCCAGTTTATCCTCTCTATCTTGCGAACCATAAATCACAGCAAGAGAATAGATTTTCAACGTGCTCAGCTCTCGAAGATTGATAAGAAGATAAAAGGTCCCAATTCTAGTGGATAGGGCTTGAAAGTCGTTTTTATCCCAATGGATAGCGATTCACCCTGCACTGTAGCATCATTCTTGATTGCCCATCCCCTATCCCTGCTTCCACTAACATCCGAAATAAGCTCGTCATTGCACTTATTCCACTTGGTTTCAACAAGACCCACAATACTTGCCTTCCTTCTAGCAAGTATTCTTTTAACCCTTCCCCTCTTACCAAGACCCCTTAGACCTCTAACATTCCACACAATAATAGACTCTGATTCATCAAACCTTAGGGGTAGAACCTTTCTCTGCCCTCCTCTTGCTTCTTTTGGACCCAGTCACTGGGGCTTCTACAAGCCCTAACCTGCGCTTTTCCATTTCTAATTTCGACTTGGGTGGTCGCACTTTACGTTGATTCAAGATCCTGGCCTTACTCTCGATAATCCTCTAAACTTCTGCCTGACCATCCTCATGCTCCAGGTTGAACATGGAACTCAATTCACGACTTCTAGCAATTAGAGTGTCCACGTCGAACGAGAACTCTTCCAACCGCCATTCCATTCCTTGACTATCCGGGACGCAAGATGGAGATGGTAATTCTGAGTCCGTCTCGGCAAGCAGGGTGATGCATACGCTTGGTGGTGGGGAATTGGGAGGGTGGCAACCGATTGGGATTGGGTTGAAATTATAAGGGGGGCGCCCGACAGGGGGTTTGGGAATGGTTTACAGGGGAAGGGGCAGAGAGAATGATGCAAGGGGTTGAAAGTAGGGGATTAGAATCAAAGTTGGGTGCAGGAAAGGGGTGGGCGTCATTCTAGAAAGGGCTTAAGCCTTGGGATGAGTCAGGGATTGAACTGGGTTTAGCTATTAAGTGTGGGAAGGAAAAGGAGAGGGCTCTATGAGAATTTGAGGAGAGGGTGATCATGGGGAAAAGGGGAATAAAAGACATTTGCGTCAGATTGACCGAGGATAGCCATCTAAAGAGTTGGTGGTTAGGTATTGGGTATGGGATTGGGTTTAGGATGAATGAGATAAGGTTAGAAGGGCTATGAACTCTAGAGAAAGAGGTGGTTTTAACCAGAGCAGAAATAATGGGCCTCGGCCCTGGTTCATCAAGCATGCAGGAGGCGTCCGCTTCTGTCGACACACCCAATCCTGGCGGATCAGGAGGCTTAGCCCATATTGGTCCAAACTTCCTGACCCAAATTTTTTTCATCCGGCCTCTTTGCGCTGACCCAGCTGGATTCATTAGAGATCCTGGTCTATAATTTGAATCTTCAGAAGACATATCGCCACTCCCTGCACCAGCTGTCATGCAAACATACGGGCGATTGTTCCCGTGCAGCGATTCATCTTCCACAATCAATCTCTCCGACACTCTTCTCGTTTGTGGGAACAGAGGTGTTGGCGCTGCGGCCAGGTCCGCCTGCACAACTGTCAGCCTGTGCTAACTTCTGGCAAAGCAAATCGGGATATATTCTGGCAAGAAATTTCCAACCCTAATCCGAATTCTAACAAAATTGGCCGACCAGTGATTCCAATCAATCTCGACCAAGGACTCGCAGAATTTTCCAATCTCTTTGATGAGGTCAACGCTTTTTAGGTGACAAGGGATTCCAGTCACCAGAACCCACAGGGTATCAGAAGAGGCTCCCCTATTCTCTTCTTTCCAGTGCGAGACCTTGATTATTAGATTCTGAAAATTGCATTGATCGAAGTATTTGATGCGCATTTCATGATGCCAACTGGGGCATATAAGGATCCATTCTCTGATCCCCTTGTCGACCCAGCCAAAGTCTGTGTCAATGGACCATTTTTTGCTCCCCGTCTCTTGAACTCTCCAACAACATATTGTGAGCAAACGTTGTTTGAGCTGGAAGAGAGTTTGATCTCCAGGAACTTTCCCAACAGTTCCTGTCTATTTTGGACTCCTTCATCACCAACTTCTATGAATCTGTCCCTCCCAAAGCCTTTGATACAGCACTTCCCTGCCCCATAGAAGCCCCCACCCTTAACAACCTTAGCAAACGTCCTGGCTTGATGGCTCGCTGGAGGCGGGAGCACCAAGGAGTCGACTGAACTCTCTGGGGAGCTTCCCTTAGCCCTTCGTTCAAGTCTATAGAAATCCTGCAGTAAGGCAATGGGTGAAGCCCACCCCAGCCTGCCATCCGATTCCGGTATCAAAACCTTATACACTCTTCCGCAGGCAACCATTTAAGAAATCTGAAGACCATCCTTATTCTTAAGTGAGGTTCTGCCGACATGAATCACACGTTCCCCTCTTCTCTTAACATAACCCTTGCCAAATTTCCAGTCTCGCATTGCCGTTGTTTGAAGGATGCCTTGCAACCAATCTAGCAAATCATCACTAAGAAGGATGAACCACCCTTTCGAATATTTTGTCACCTGTAGTCGTTACCAAACAGCACTGCCGTCTTCTTCCCTTTCAACCTAGACCAGCTTGGTTCCAAACCTTGCTTTCAGCGAACACTCTTCCATCGCCTACCATCGCTGCCGCCAGTACCTTGACCCTGTGACCTGCGCAAACAACCAGGAAAGGAAGCAACAGAAGAATTAGCCTCGGCCCTTGCGCTCACCCACTCTAGATCTCTCAAACGCCGGCTTCTCCGAGAACTAGCACGTTGGCCTCTCTCTTTTGCTCTCTCTCTCTCTCTCTCTCTCTCTCTCTCTCTCTCTCTCCCGTTAGAAAATTCTCTCATGTTTGCATGATCATATTGGCATTGTGGTTTAATTGGTGAATCAATGTGCTATTAGAATTGATGCATGATAACTGGATTGTGACTAGGACGACCTAGAATGATGACTGAGACGTGCAGTAGAGTTGTGTAGGGGTTCAGTTTTTCAACTGTTTGCTTACCAACTGTGACTTGGATTGATCACTTATTTTCTACAGTCGTTCATGCATCTAGTTCAGGGAATGAGAATGAGAGATAGAGCATATAGGTAGCCATGTGAGATTTGGGCATGCTCGTTTCTTTCTTGTGTGATCGATCCTCTTTCATGATGTGTAGCATTCATGTTGTCACTAATTAGGATGATGGAGGCATAGGAATAGCCCACGACCAAATTGACTGTCTTGGTGTCATACCCCCTAGTCAGCCCCTTTGAGCCGTGTAACTTTCCTTCTTTTGGTCTATAGTGAAAAATCACCCTTTTGCATCTCTTAGAGGTTCCACAAAGTGGTTTTTGCATGTTCTCTGCTGTTCTGCTAAAATTAATGTGAGGGTTGGAGGTAGTTCTTAAAAGTTGGGCATGTGTTTGAAAAATGTGCAGAGGTGGTGGTTCTCCCAAGAAATGGGGAAAATGATGAATGAAAGCAAAAGAGAGCCACAACTAAAAATTTGAATCATGCTCATTAAGTAGTGTTTCTTAGCAGTCTGGCTTAGAAATACTAATAATATTGTGACCTCCTTCACTCTTGTGCTCTAAAGAACGTGATTAATGTCGAATGACAGAAAGAAAGTAATTGGTTTCAATGAATGTTGTTGTGTTTGGTTTTGGAACTGTGGAACCATGTGTTATGAATACTTCCACCACCTAAAAGGCATTTTTCCCATGTCCAAGACCCTAGCCAGTCATCTGAACCTGTGTCTAAGACCTCCTGATTAGTTAGTGGTGACACCCGATATGTGAACTCTAGCATTTAAAGGTTGCTGTCATGGTGAAGAGACATTAGGAATTGAGAGAATAAGCATTCAAAATTTTCGCATCAAATTGTCCTCACCCCACTGGTCGAGAGTGAGCGATACATTTCCTTATATTCTCTACACTCTTTATCCCGATGAGGACCTAGATTGCTCGGTCTTGATTTTGATGTCTTGTGTTTTATGCATGAGGCGACTGTCTTGAATAAGTGGTTGAGTCAAGTCTATTTTGGTTGGTGCAAAGAAGGGAGACTCCTCCTTTGCTCGACTTTGCTGCACTCGAATGGTATCTGTGGTGGTTGTCCAGGTTGCCGTTGAAATTGTTCATGTGTTGATGACTAAAAGCTAGTATGATTCACGTGTTTTGTGCCGATATGATATGTCCTAAAGCTTGCATGGTTAAAATGTTTTGAGCACCTTGTGTCTGACTTGGTTTGCTTGTGGACAAGCAAACGGTTAAGTTTGGGGGAATTTGATAACGACGTATTTGCACTTGTTTACACCCTTATTTCTTATCCATTTGCGGCTGGAAGTCGTGTATCTTTGGCGTATTTTATGCTGGATTGTGCTACTTTGTCACATTTCAGGTCCCAAACGTCGAAGGAAGGGTTAGGCACGAATTTTGGGGCGTTTGGAGGTCATTCGGTGAAGCTGGGGCAAAACACGGGCAGACTACTCTAGAACACGGTCGTGTTCACTAAGGGGCACGCCAATGCTTTTTAGTGCGCGGGCTGAATCGATACGAGGAGAAAACACGGGCGCCATTGACCATAAACACGGCCATGTCCCCAGCCCGTGTTATTTATGCCGAGAGCTCGTTGGTGAGTGTTGCTGAGTATGACTGCTTTGAATTCTGTTTTCCTCTCTCTCTCTCTATGGAGTCAACCTTTTTCTCAGTTGGGTATGAAGAACCCTAGTTACAAGTGTTAGGGATCTTGATTGTAATGACTTTTGGATTGAGACACTGTTTGATTATAATCGATTGAGGTGTGTTTATTGAGTCAATTGAATCCTGACCAACTTCTCTTGATTCCTCCTTCAACCTGTGATAAATAGAATCTGAATAGGTTGTTAGAGCTTCTTCAATCGGTAGTAGTGAATTGATTATATGAGAGTTAATCGATTCAATTCTTTTCACTGGAATCCAATTCCAGCTGTGGAGTTCTGTGTTAATTGCCTCAGCAGTCTATCCCGGTGAAGCTAGTCGCCTGCCGGTTAGTCTGTCTGAGAGGGCTTGGTCAGCTCAAGAGATTCCAAGCTACTGTCGGATCTTCCGCAGTTTAATCAATAGTAAATCAACCAAAGGAAATTACAACTTAGACCTAAATAAGGAGCTAGGGGGACTCATTCCCGAGTGACTCTTCTCTTGCTTTTGAAAACCGAACAATTTCCTGCTTTCTTACTGCTTTTGCTTACAATCACTCTCACTAAACTAAGTCCCGTTAGATAATAGATAATCCAGAGTAGGCGGTAGATCTAGACCCCCGCGTTGATAAATTGAACTTGACGGTTAGTATGTCTGAGAGGTCTTAGCAACCGTGAACTGTGATAGGCCCGCGAGGCATAAAGCCCTCTTTGAAAATCCTTCATTTCACGATCTCGGGCTGATTATCATGGTCGTGGCGACCGTGAACTCCAATAGGCCCGTGAGACGTGATTTCTCCTCTGGAATCCCAGCGCTTCACAGTCTGGGAGGAATCTTCACGGTCCTGCGAACCATGGACTCCAAGCTTGCATCGTGATCTCCTGGTGACTGCACCTTTGGCCCTTTTTCGCTCCTTTTGGTCCATATTTTGATCCGAGATCGATTTTACCTGCTAGAATCTGAACATAACAAAACCATGCACAACCTAGCGTAAAACCAAACCCCATTGGGTGAAATCGCCTCAAACATCCAAGGAAAAAGGGGGTAAAATGTGTGCATTTTTGCCCGAATCACTCCCCCGCACTTAGACTTTTGCTTGTCCACAAGCAAAACCAATTTCAAACAAGGTAATATCTCAACCTAACAAGATAACTCGAGAACAAATCAAAAGGCTCAAAGTGGTCTAATCTCAATGGGTATCAGGCATCAACACATGGACAAATCGCAAGCAATACCTGCACCCACCACAAACAACATTTGGGTGCAATAAGAATGTGCAAACGAAAAGTTCTCAACTTGTTCACAAAACAACACAAGACTCGACAAGACTACTCCTCAACCACAATCGAACATGCATAGAGATCAAGTCCAAGGAACAAACGACTAGGCGAACTAGGTCCTCACTGGGATGAAATATGAACATACGACACATGAATGAAAAATCACTCACTCTGGACCTGTGGGGTCGAGACCATTTGATGCAAAAAATGTGCATATCAACACTCAACCCTGTCGTCTCTTTGCCACAGCGGTAACCTCTAAATGTTAGAGCTCACATGGTGGTTGTCATCACTAGCTTGTCTGGAGGTCTTAGACACGGGTTCAAATGACTGGCAAAGGTCTTGGACATGGGGAAAAAGCCTTTTTGAGTGGTGGCAAGCAAAGCATGAGGTTCCACATCTTCAACCTAAAACAAAAGGTTCTATGGTTTCGATTAGAACCTTCCCTACAACCAATGGCCACTAGCATCGGCCAAAAACCACACTTCCCTTCTTTCAAACCACTAGCAATCACAAACTATATTCAAGCACACTTCCTCGGTCAATCATGCTATTCAATTTCCAAGCATGGTAGTGAAGGAGGTCAACTAACAATAGGCGTTTCAATGGCTTGAGTGCCAATAAACCCTTTCTTTGAGCATACACTTTACATTTTTGTGGCAACTCCCTATCTTTTATTTACCTCATTTTCACTTCTTATTCTTTCTTTCCATTTTCTTTCTTTACTTTCCCTTTTGTTCTTTTTGAGGGGAGTACTAGGAAGCTAAACACATCACAAAATCAACTTCAACATTGTTGTTCATCCTTATCGAGGTTGTGCCACGAGCTTGCTGGTGAACTCTGCAGATGACCGTCTGCACCTCGTTGTTAGTCTTCAACATCATATGATTGTCACCTCGTACTTGGCGGAGCTGCTAGCTGCTGGAAATGGTATGCTCTTGAGGGGTAGAGTATGATGTAATTGGAGGGGATTTTATAGTCATCATTCCCCAGCTTCTCAAAGGGATAGAGTCTGATGCAATTGGAGACCTGATGCTCAGGGACTGCCTGCATATGATAGCTACTCTAGACATAGGCTTAGAATTTTTTGTGCTCTTAGGACTGCCAATCAAACTTATAGTAGTGAGCAAAGAAAAGGCCTTTCTTTGTCTAGTTTAGAGTTACTTTCATTTATTTTTGCTACTTAGGTGAGAAGAGATTTCTCGGATATAGATTTGGTTTCTTGTATTGTATTATATTGTCATATCTCAAATAAAAATAAATTTTTAGCTCGCTTATTCTCAGTGTTTCGCGTATGAACGGTAGAGCGTTCCATCTTCATCTTCATTCTTTTTTGTTTTTAACAACGGCTTAGTCGACTCCACTTTCTCCATTATTCTTATTTGTCAATATGGTGGTGCGAAAACTAGAGCAAGAACGAGAATCTAGAGTGATGGACTCGGGATTTTTATCGAGGTGTCTCAGTCGATAAAATTAAATAATCAAGAAAAATAAATTGGGTTAATATTTTTGAAAAGATTGGCCAGGATGTTTATTTTGGTCAAAGTTCAGGCCATACGAAAATATTAGCCCAAATAAATTAATTCATAAAGTGCACAACTCCATTGTTATCACAGCGAGAGAAGATGACTTTTTATATTCTAAAATATTTATAAAAACAAATTCATAACTTATTTTTTGACTCAAAACCTTTTTAATTTTTTCAATCAAACAATCAATGATAAATTGCTCGCTCATCCAGCTTTAATATTGTTCTTGATTAATGTTGTAGCTGAAAAAAACATGTTCACAGTTTTGCAATTGAAAAAAAAAGTCAGCACTAACTTTATAAACAAGTAAACCAAAGAATAATAGTTATGCTTTCCAGCATGTACATTTTATTACAAATTTATTCAAGTCCCCTATAATTTGACATGTAAGATTCGAAAAAAGTGGGGGAAAACAAAAAACCTAAAAATTGGGATTTAGCGCTCTAAACTTCAAATTACTTATTATTTGAAGGAAAGATTAGCGAATGACTCATTCCGAATATCACACTTAAATTCTACCTAAAGTCCAAGTATAAATTTTAAATAGGTGCAGTATAAGGCAAGTATGTCTAAATATCAACCCGGACCAGTCTATGTACTACTACTTCGATTGTTTGCAACATTATCTAGCGGAATGAAGTTTGTAAGAATCTCTACAATCTATGATTAAAAATGCAAGACTTGAAAAGTAAAAGGATTGAAACTCTTGGTGAGAAGCTTCACTCGGGAGTTGTTTCCCTCTAACTAACTGCCATGAACCGTGGGATCGAATGAATCGGTGTGCGACAAGGCGATTGCGAACCATTAGGACAAGGAATGCATTATAGGCTACGATGTAGCCCTCTTGGCCCAGGCACTTGAGGGTTGACTAACCTTCTTCCTCAAACTGAGGTTTGGACGGCTTAATCACAATTAACCTAGGTGTCTAATTTGAGTTTAGAGGTTTGCCCTACCTTAACCTAATTAGGAGGCATGGAATGCCAAAGAAGACCTAGCTCAATTTGAGCCTCTTAAGATAAGGGGGTTTCTCTCTAAGCTAGGTTAAAGTAGCACAATAGATTAACCAAGTGATGAACTGTAACCCACGATTCAAGGGTTTTGCTTGTAACTCACAAGCGAGAGAACGACGTAGGTGTCGAAATACCTTTTAGTTTATTGATTGGATACCAGGAACTAATGCCGAACTTACATATTTATATAAGAAATAAACCTAATACGTAAACCTAATACTACTCGAACTCCTATTCCTACTCGGCTACCCCTCTCCTTGCTAACCACGAAACCCAAACCCACAAGAAACCCAACACGACCACTCTACCCCTAAAGCCCAACCCGAAAATATACTCATCAATCCTTCCCCCTCAAAGAACCTTGTCCGCAAGGTTCTCTTGTCGACCAGTCGCAGAGGACGACGATGAACGCAGTTGCAGTTCTTGCGACGACCAAACTTGCGTCGCTTCCGGAACTTCCAGTTTGCAGATCGTCCTATGTTTTCCTTCCTTCCGATAACTGGGGCATGGATTGCTAGCTGAATTATTGGGACTCCAAACTCGGCATCTTGAGCTGCAGCATACAAACAAAATCCTTTGGAAAAATGGCTAGCGCTTGGGCCAAATAAAATTAGGCTTGATCGGCCTCCATAATCATCATCTTGGTCCCATGAAAATTTCCTTCTTGTGTGTTTAATTTGAGGGATAAGTAGTGGGCTATGCAAACCCAAGCTACCAAAATCCAAACATCCATCCGGTGCACGCGGCATCGACGACGGCCTTTCAAGCGAACCCAAAAAGTTTCGGTTTCCACCAACAACACTGCTTCTATTGGTCCCTGCTCCATCCTCGATCTCCTCCTTCTTACAGCTTCCAGATTGGTAGGTGAGAGCCTCATCGAGGTGGTTGGGTTGCAACCTCTTCAAGAATTGTTCAAACCTGTCGCAGGCTCCCTGGAAGCGTTTGCCCGCCTCCTTCGACGTGACTTGTATCTCAAGGGCGCGTCGGAGCAGATTGTCGGTTGTGCCAGGTCACGGACCATGACACCCTCCCTGTAGTAAGCGTAACCTGGCTCAGAAACCAAATGATGAACCATAACCCACGATTCAAGGGTTTTGCTTGTAACTCACAAGCAAGAGAACGACGTAGGTGTCGAAAAACCTTTTAGTTTATTGATTGGATACCCGGAAATAATGTCAAACTTACATATTTATATAAGAAATAAACCGAATACGTAAACCTAATACTATCCGAACTCCTATTCCTACTCGGCTACCCCTCTCCTTGCTAACCACGAAACCCAAACCCACAAGAAAACCAACACGACCCTCTACCCCTAAAGCCCAACCCAAAAATATACTCATCACCAAGCACACACAATGCACAATCATCATGAACAATACCTCAAATCTTAAATTAAACATCACCCACACACAAACATTTAATCCACACAATCAACTACATGGTAGAAGTTAGGGTTCTGCAACACCAAATTGAATAGGAGACTATCCATGCTAGAAGAAGGAAGAACACAAAGGGAAAGGGAAACAACCATAATTGTGATGCCTCAATCCTTCTTTGTGCTTGTAGCAATCCTCTCTTGAAGAGGAACTTCTCAAATCTTGACTTGGAGCAAACCCTAGCCTCTTCTCCCTCTTGGTTTGTGGCTTTCTCTCTCTAGGGTTTCAAGAATAAGAAGGTTTCTCTCACTTTGAGCTCCCTTTCTTCCTCCTTTCAGCTCTCTTTTTATACACTGACCGAGCCCAGTTCGCGGTCCTAGTAGATGGCCGTGAACAGCTGGCCTTGACCGTGAACATAGCCAAAATGCACTGCTTCATTTGTTGAAGTCGCGGTCCATGGCTTCAGTTCACGGTTGTCAGTAACCTCTGAAACCTCTCTGGACACCCTTCAGCTCGCCCTTTGTGGCTCCATTTCAAGATCCTGGCGACCGTGAACTCATCGCTTGGACCGTGAACAGCGGTTGCTTCCTCCTCTTTGCCCGATCCTCGTGCATTTTCTTCCAACTTTACTTTCGACTCCAGGGTTGGTTCCACCTGTTAGACTCTGAAACAAATTGAACCACAAAAAACCTAGTGTAAAACCACCCTTTTTGGAGCTCAAATGCCACAAACGCCAAAGAGAAACGGGGGTAAAAAGTGTACATTTAGGCCCAAATTAGCGAGAACCGAAAGCAAAGATCGCACACGACACGACAACGGGGACGAAGGGCGACTCCGAACCGGCCTCCTAAGACCGAAAATCAATGGAGGAGCCTGGGCCTAGCATCAGCCAACGGGGCAATGACAAGCGTCTCAGATGGAGGTGTGCAAATTATAATTAATTTATTATCTTTCATTAGAAATTGAAATAAATAATTTGTATTCATAAGTTTTAATCGCTTTATAATAACAAATTTCTTATAAGGCATATCAATAGAGATGGTAATGGGTCGGGTTGGGTCGGGTTTTGCCAAACCCAAATCCAAACCCATGGGTTTATCACTGAAAAAACGCGGGGTAAAATGCACTTGGTTTGGAAAACTCAAACCCAACCCAACCCGTTGGGTATCCGCGGGTTCATGGGTACCCATGAGTTTTTGTCGTAAAAAATTTACAATAACAAGTTTCTATCAAAATAAAAGTCAAATATCAATTTCTCAATACAAATTATCCATATATAAAAATATCAATCTAGAAAATTCAAGCAAATCACAAAATAACCATACAAATTGTTCAACACCAATCTAGAAACCTCAAAAAAATTGAAGCAAATCACAAATTATCCATAAACAACATGAGTAATTGAAAGCTTTTTCCTCCTTGTCAATTAAGCTTCTTCACTCTCCACTCGATAATATCAAATTTATTCTACTCAATTAGAAAGAAAAAAATAGAAATGTCTCCACAAATATAAATAAGATTAGTTGCCTTAAATATTAAATATACCGGGAAAATTAATTATATGGGTGTGGACGGGTATCCATGAGACGGGTATACCTAAATCCAAACCCAACCCAGTGAATAGTGAACGGGTTTAAACCCGAACCCGACCCAAAACCCGTCAACACGAGTTTTACCCGCATTGATCGGATCAGGTACCCGTAGGTTCGAATTTTGTTCTCATCCCTACATATCAATTACAATAATTAAAGTTCTATACGAGATTCCAGATTAAAAAAACAATTTATACCTATAAAAGAGTTTCTCAAAAAATTCTTGATCAGATGTGTGTCACTTGACGCACCTCTCTTGAACCCAGGACCGTCCCTGAGAATCTGGCAATGCTAAATAAATTCCATTAACCAGAGGTGATTATGATCAAGTTGATGAGGTTGAACGAAGGGACATGTCCACGACTAAATTCATCTTTCATGTAAATTACCTATTCAAAGCTTCTTAACAAAATAAAAGGTAAACATTTATGTGCAAATGGTATATGAAGAAAACCACCAACTTAGAATCAAAAATGAAGTACCGTGCACCCAAATGTCCTAAGGCACCAAAAAAAAAAAAAAAACAAAATCAAGTAACGTATACATTATTTTCATGTTTGTGAGAATCTGACATATTTTTTCGGCCAAGAAAGTATCAGTTATTAATTAATATTGAACTTACCATCGAAGACCTTTAATCCCAAATAAAGGTAAGAAAAATTAGGGATCGGAATTCGGAACACGATTACAGTAAGTATCTGTATAATTACCATATTTTCATTTCCAGCTGTCACGTAACTGCACTATCATCTTTTCTTTCCTTTCACAACCAGCCAATAGATCTTCACATCTCTCAAAATAGTTAATTTAATTAGTACGATGATTTTTTATCTTGACATCCTTGGTCTTGTCTCTGTACCAGTCTCAAGATAGGGTGCATAACCATGAGTTATGCATCCATCAATAACCAAATCTGGACCCTTTCATTTAGAAAATCCAGATCTAAGGATGGAGAATTAAAGATCATTTTTATTTTCTCTAGTTTTCTTAATCGGTTTATATCTTTTTCGTTTTAACTCGGATTTTAATTTTTTTGCACAGGTAGAACGAGTTCATCGTGCTCTACAAAATGAGATCAATTTTCAATATTTTTTTAGAACAAAAAATTCTGGCTTCTCGGTACCAACTGCATACCATATGGTATTTTCTTCATTTTTAATTCGTTTTTGAAAACGTTTGCACAGAAGGGACGAGTTCATCATGATCTATTGGATCTACAAATTTCTGAGTGAACAAATTACAGAACCAAAAAATACCACACAATACCATACAATACCACCCCGTACCGGGGTGGTATTGTATGGTATCTTCTTCGTTTTTAATTCGTAATTGAAAACGTTTGCACAGAAGGGACGAGTTCATCATGATCTATTGGATCTACAAATTTATGGGTGAACAAATTACAGGACCAAAAAATACCACACAATACTATACAATACCACCCTGGTACGGGGTGGTATCTTGTGGTATACAATGTTAAAAGTCGTAAATGACAATTAATATATTTCTACTATCATGTATTCAACCATCCTATAGTCTTAGTTTGTTCATACCACCATGGTACTTTTTCCAAACCATAGGTATGCTTTTATTTCAATACCAGTCAATACCATATGGTATAGACTGGTAAAAAATGGCTCAATTTTTTTTGTTCAAAAAATATATTAAAGTGGATATCATTTTGAAGAGCACAATTAATCTGATCTAACTGTGCAAAAAAAATCAAATTTCGACTTAAAATGAGTGAGAAATCGTCTGTCAAAGATTAAAGAGGGGAAAATTAAAGGCTTTCTAGAAGAGAGAGGATGCTGATGTGGACGGGTTACTCATGATTACTCACCACAAGGTTACTCACCGAATCTGCTCTCCTGTACCTACTACGAGGTGTGTATATATATTAGCAAATCTATACATAATACAATTATTTCGTCTAGAGAAAATTATAACCACATTCTCGTTTTCGTTCTAAGACACTCTCTCGAACCAATACGATCGTGTTCTGCAGGTAGATATGACACCATGGACCGCTATGATCATAGTTCTGACGCTGATGTGGTTTGCTGCATTGGACCATTGGGGAGTTTGGTGCCACAAGTTGTCAGGAACCGAGAAACTAAACTTGAGAAGGCAGTTGAAACGTTTGAGCAAACCCGCTGTCACTACGATCCAGGTAATAAAAAAAATCCTATTTTCATGAAAATATAAAGAAAACTCGGGGTCGGTTAGCATGCTAACCCTCTTTAGGGGTTGGAAAAATGACACCCCTAGTATATTAAATACAACTATAGAATTTAATACACACATTAAATACATATTAAGAATTAAATGCACCATATTAATTATTTGTTTTTTTTTTTCAAATTAAAACCTACACTAAATACATTTTCTCTCACTATATTTGATTTTTCCTTTTTCAGCAGTCTCCGACCACCAGACTTCCTCCGACCGCCACACTTCTCCGGTGAAAATCCCATCGGCAGACTCCCTCCGACCACCTCCAAAAAATATATCACTGCACTGATACGTTGTACCAATGTACTGGTAGATATACCACTGCACTGGTAGCGATATCAGTGCACTGGTAGCAATCTCATATCTGAGTATCAGTGCAGTGGTACAAATACCAGTAAAGTGGTACAACATATCAGTGCAGTGGTATATTTTTGCATGTGACCGGAGAGAGTTTGTCGGCGGATTTTACCGGCGAAGTGTGGTGGTCGGAGGAAACTTGGTGGTCGGAGGCTGCTCGGAAAGGAAGAATCAGAGATAGGAGTGAGAAAGATCAAAGATGAGAGAGAGAGAGTTGTATTTTGTATATGTTTAGATTTTTTTAAAAAACAAGTAATTAATGTGGTGTATTTAATGCTTACTTTGTATTTAATAACATAACATTTATTATGTTTACTTTCATTAATACTTGTCAATAATTAATGAAAAATTGACCAATTAAAGGGGGTGTCAAAAAACCAACTCCTTAAAGGTTAGCATGCTAACCCGTCCCAGAAAACTCTCATTAGTACTTTTAAGTTTTTTTTCCTGATATTTATGGGATTCTGGGGATGATTTAAAGTCAATCATTATGTTAATTGCTGGAATTTTCCAAGTTAAAATTAACGATAGTATCGATGGACCAAACTTTGAGAGGGTAGAGAAGCGTATTTTGGAGTTTGAAATGTGTGATTAAGTTTACTGATTTCTTTTTCCTTTGACGAATTTGAGGTTGAGAGACGACTAATACTAGTGT